CCAGCTAGCCAGTCGATGCTAGGGTTGTGTTGGTGCAGCCAGGGATAACCCAAGATCACCGGGAACTCGGGAGAGTCAATCAGATAAAACTCTTCCATATGTTGATGTTGGAGAACAGTGAGGCGAAGAGGGTAAGTGATCTCCGTAATGCAGCCCGGTTCCAAGGGTCTGCCATCTAGGGCAGTAACGGTTTGGGGCAGAGAAAGTAATTGGGTAGGTACTCCAAGCCTCCTGACTAGAGACCGGTCCAGGAAGTTGCCAGCAGCCCTGGAGTCGATCATGGCTCGGACCTGATGCTGATGGCCCTCCCAGGAAAGAGTTACAGGAACAGAAAGCACTGCATTGGAAGGAGGAGCACTAATCTTCCCCATCACAGCCCTCCTGTAACTGCGCGGGGACGATCGTTTCCCGGAAGCTCGGGACACAGGAGACGGAAATGCCCAGATGCACCGCAGTATAGGCAGCGATTCTCCCTCATGCGGCGATCCCTCTCGGCAGGGGAGAGTCTGGAACGCCCCAACTGCATGTCCTCCGGGGGCTCGAGTTTCTCAGAACTAGGTGAGGAAATGCGTGCAGGATAGGGTTGCCTGTTTCCAGACCACCGGGGCGGAGATGTCTTGCTTCGGGTTGAGTCTCTCTCTCTTAGCCGATTGTCTAGACGAATAGCCATGGTGATCAAGGACTCAAGATCAGTCGCGGGTTCGCGAGTAACTAACTCGTCCCGAATGGGTCCGGACAACCCTCCCTGGAAGCAGGCCATTAGAGCTTCGCTGTTCCATCCACTACCAGACGCAATGGTCCGGAACTCTATAGCAAAGTCTGCAGTGCTACGTGATCCCTGCTTAAGGGTGAGTAGTTGCCTGGAAGACTCCCGACCACTCACTGGATGGTCGAACACCCGCTTGAACTCCTCCACAAAGAGAGCATATGAGCCACAACAGCCATCCTGAGATTCCCACACCGCAGAGGCCCAGGAAAGTGCCTTATCTGCAAGGAGAGTGATGATGTATGCAATCTTAGAGCGGTCAGTAGGGAAGCTTGAGGGCTGGAGTTCAAATGTCAGGGAACACTGAGTCAGGAATCCTCCACATGAATTGGCATTCCCTGAAAAGGGCTTAGGAGGTGGAAGCCGAGGTTCAGCGACTACTTGGGGTCTACCAATGGGAGGCGGACGTGGTTTTGGAGGAGGTGAACTCTCTGGAATCCGTTGAAAAAGCTGGCCAATGGATCTCGTCATATCAGCGAGAAGGTCAGAGTGCTTGGGCATCAGTTCCTCCTGACGGGTGAGAACTGCTTCATGGCGTTGATACGCTACCTCATGCTGACCCATCACTGCCACCAGGTCCTTATAGGTGAGTGTTTCTGGATCCATGTGTGACTTGGTCTTTCTGTCACGACCCGGCCTAGAACTTGGGTCTCCGGTGTAAGAGCTAGGTGGTAATACCACTGACCCACCAGAAAGCAGGGGTAGGATCCAATCGAAACACAGGATACGATGTCTCAGGTAAGATAGTTTAATAAATAAAAAATGATGTCAAAAAACTTAAACAAAGGGTCTTCTCAAAATGGAGGTAAAAAAAAACACACACAAAAAAAAAAAAACTCCACGAGGGGAGAAAAATAAACAGATGCACAACTTTAAATAACAAACAAAAACCTTACTATATCACAGGGTCTCAAAAATCCAGAGAAACTCAGGGCACCAGGCAGACATCTCATACAAAGACCAAGCAACAAGGGAGAACCAAGACAGAACTAATATACACAGGGGGAAACGAGGTGCAGGTGAAGATGATTACACAAACGAGAAAACACAGGTGAGTGATATTACATCTAGTGGCACAACTAAGGAAACAGCAGTCCCAAATGATGACAGTTTCAATGTATTTCTTAAAGGGATACTTCAGGATTTAGCATTAAGCTTTATATTAGTAGAAAACCTGTAGTATTTTCGAATTACCATGCTTTCCACCCTCATATCCCCCTGAGACGAGAGATTTATGTATTTTTTGTCTGGAAAAAATCCTCCGATGACGCAAAAATCGTCATTTTGCGTCATCGGAGGATTTTTTGGCCAGAGGCTAAAGACTACAGTCAGTAGTAGGGGCTGTTCCGCATTTTTTCAACCCGCCCATAGAGGGTGGGATCTCACTCACAGAATGTACACATAGTGTCAGCCATCTTTTTTTGGAAGCTAAGTTAACAGGCTCTTGTTCTGTGGGGAAAGCTGAGTAGTAGGGGTTACCATCCTCTTTTTCCCGGACATGTCCGGCCGTCGATGTCCGGGATTCAGCTTTTGCTTTCTGCAGTCGCCATTCATTGTTTACATGCACACCTTTTGTTTCAATCTAACTGAATTCATTCCGATTGGTGAATCTGAATGTAGTGTTTACATGAACGCTAAACAAGTGATCGGTTGATGTGCGTTTTAACATTGCTAAGAAAATTCCTGCTCCTCCGTGAGAAATACGAGACCGGTGCTCAACGGTGATCATGCCACCGGCCTCGCGCCGTCCTGCTCGCCACAGTAAACATAATGAATGGCGACTGTAGAACACAAAAGCCGAATTCCGGACATTTTGGGCGATCTCGAAACACATTTTCGGGCAGACTCATCACGGAGACTCACTAGTAGCCTAGACTTGTTGTTTAACTACTGCGCTCTGTTACCGGTAGGCGTCGCCTCCTAGGGCAGCGAAGCAAGTGCATTCTGGGAGTTGTTGTCTTCCATCCACATAAGCCAAAAATACATTTTCTGGCTTTTCTCAGTCTAGAAAGCTCCAAATTCAAAAATAATTTCACATTTCTTCTACATAAATGACCCATTTTAAATACACATTCATCTTTCCAGAGGTGAAGTATCCCTTTAAGAATATTAATAAAAATGTACCATGCTTTTGAAGCATTCATGATGATAAGGGGCCCTTTCTTTTCTTTTTTCATCTTTTTTTTTAGGTCGGTTGGGGGCCCCCCTACTACGACCGCTGGTAGGGGGCCCCAAGCAGCCGACAACCTATGCCTCTATGTTAAGACTGCCACTGAAGCCTCCTCCAATGACACTCGGAACCAATGGTACAAGTGTCATCATTGGCTGTGCAGTGTGCACTGGGGGTCAGAGATGTCATGTCATGATGTTTATATGACAAAACAGTTCTAGACAGCATGAAGGTTAAGCTCAGTCATCAAGACCTATTTTTATCAAAACGTCATACTGGGGTAGTTCCAAACACTTGAATTCAATGTTTCAGGTGGTTTTGGGTGATTTGAAGTAAACAACGGTAATGTTGTACAGTCATTTAAAGAACTCTTCAAAGCAGAAACCTCTTTCAGGCTCTTGAGTCAAAGTCTTCCTCAAACACCAAAACACATTGGGTCTCATTCATGAAACACGAGCAGAACGAATTTTTTTTGTAAATCGTGTGTAAAGTGGTTCTGGCGTAAATTTTCGTATTCATTAAAATGTTCGTATTTTCCAAATGTTAGTTGGTACGAAAGAAATCTACACCTGCTCCCAGCCACGCGTAAATAGTGAGTTTAACATCCAAACGTTTTGCTGCATTTTAATTAACCTTAATCGGGTACATATTTACACAGCATTTTGAAAAAATATTATATATAGTAATTACCTAAGTTTTTTTCTTTTTACTTTTATTATGAGAGCCAGTAATAGCATTTTTTCTCGAAGTGAACTAATTAGTTTTTTTGCAGTCAAGCTTCATGTCAAACAATTTTCTTGTCACTTCTGGGACAGTTCGATTAACAGATGAAATTCCATTCACGGCATCTGTAATGCTGCCAAGCTTCCTTATTTTAGGACCTGATACGCCACTATGTACGCTTGAAAATAAAATGTGGCGTTTTGAATGAACTTCTGATAATAAAACTTCAATTTCAGCATCTGAGAAATTTTTCTTTTTCATTCGCTTTTGAGAAGACATGTTGAATCCTTCGTTTGGTGTCATAATATGATGTAAAAGGAATTGGAATGTCCGCAACACTGCTTTATGCTCCCATATTTAATAAAAAAGCAACGTATGGGAATATGATGCCCATATATAGTTGTCAGTCGGATTTAATGGGCGGGATTTATGGTAATTAAGTATGAGCGTGCACGCGCGTCCCATTTACGACTGATTGGAATTCATTAACACACATTTCACTCTCACATCTGACGTTTACGAAGTATTTGTGAATCAGGTGAAGAGTTTTCGGGAAGGTCTCTTTACGCGCAAATCACTCACATATTTACTCGTATATTTACGAATGTTTTATGAATGAGACCCATTGTGTCCTTGATCTGTGAAAATAAGAGATGTGAAAAGTATAGGGATCTTGATCACACAGGCTCAGATGATCAGGAGGACCACCTGGTGACAAATAATGACAGCAGCAGCAGGGCTTTGAAGCGCTGAGGTTCACAGGTCACAGATCAGAGCAGTGTCTTCTGGGGCTGACAGCTGATCCGAGAGAGGCTGTCTCTGTGTCAGTGATGAGAAGACTCCATCTCTGCTACGGGACTGTCCACCGACACAGAGGTGGCCATAGTGTGTAACATCCATCCAGGTAGCTCTGCTTATACTGTGTCTGATATTTCCCTCCAGTTGGGAGAGCTTCCCAGTGCGCAGAAAATGTACATCAGAGAAATTAATAGGGGGACTTTATGACAGCATGAGGGGGAAAAAATTTATATTTCCCCCAAGGATTAGGCAACATGGTTTGTCTGAATCTGAATTTTGCTGCTTTTCGTCTGAAAGAGGAATTTTAATACAAAATGCATAATGAAAATATATATAGAGAAAAAATAAACAGTAGATTGAGATCATGAATGTTTAATAAATACAAATTAAATATCCATACAAGTTTTTGTCTTTTTTTAACATCAGAATATGTGTATATGTATTTTTATTTATTTATGCGTTTATTTTTATGTATTTATTTACTTTTTACAGTTTTTAGTGAATTTGTATTTGCTGTCGTCCTGGTCTTTACTGTGCCTCAGTCTATCTCACCAAGCTCAACAGTTGCTCCATCTTTGCTATTTCCACCTCCGGCCCACTCTGCAACTCCTGACCCTTCTTGTCCTGCAGAGCCAAAGAGAAAAATGAAGAGAATGAGATGAGTCAGCTGCTGGTAGTGAGAGAACTGAGCCAAGGGTGCCAGTAACAATCACAAACACTTCTCAGTGTGAAGCTCTCATTTAAACGTTTCCATTTCGACTGGCTGAGGTAATGAGAGAAGTGTTGGCAAGGTGTTATTTCCTGTTTTGCTCGCTCTAATCTCACTTGACATTTGTCTGACATTCCTATTGCTGACCATACCAACACCGTAATGAACTAAACCAAACCAGACCAGGGGCCTCATTTATAACCGTTGCGTACACAAAACAGGCCCTGAAAGAGGCGTACGCCACTTCCGACGCATAAATTGTGATTTATAAAAACAAACTTGACGGGAAAATTTGCGCACCTGCACGCAAACTCTGACCCATGCGTACGAACATTTTGCAGATGGAGCAGTTTGGCGACACCGATGGTGAGCTGGAGTTAAATGTCTTTTTGGTCACTTTTAGACAGAAAATCTAAAGAAATGTATACATACAGAAAGATAATACAAATATAATTTCACTCACCAAACCTATCACTTGAAGCAAATATCCATCCCTTCTTAAATGTCCGCGCCAGCGAGCGCATTGGGCCGTTTAGTGGAACTGACGCATATATAGCCTATCTAACGGCAGATGAAGAACCGTAAATCTTCATTATGAGTCCTAATCATAAATACAGTGCATGTTCACAATAACAGTTTAAATAAATAAAAGAATGATTTAAACTATGTTTTACTTCTGATATAAACATTTAGATTAAATATGCCATTCTCATTAATGGTGTTAAACACTTAAACTACATGAAATCATTACTGAGAAGTTACAACATTTTTATATTCAATAAATATAAATATTTGTTGTGGATGCAATGCTTTTGAACACTTTTCCTCTGGCATGCTGTGTTTTAATGTATTAACTACATAGATAATTGCTAATCATAATAACAGCAGATTGTAAGAGAAAATGGTTTCGTGCAAATAATGCACATTAAGGCCTATCTGTTTCCATTAAAAATATAAATCAATTAAAAATACTATTTGGCCAGTGGAAAAGATTGAGAAAAACTTTCTCTGAAATGTATTTTACGCTATTTGATTTATTTATTCAAAAACAAGGCAAGGATAGGCTACTAAATTGTTTTTATTAATGAAATGTGACGGCACATCCGTATTTCTTATTTTTCTAATGTCTGGTACCGTTAAACATGTTATCACGTGAATGAATAATCATATGCAAATGATATGCAGATGAGGATATGCATAGTAAAACTAGTTGTAAACTCCATATATGGTTATTTCGGGGAGGAGACGCATGATCGTTGAGGGATCTTCAATAAGCTCTAATAAGTAGCTCAAGGTTACAGCTATTCATAGAATCCATCAAATCCTAACCAGGGAGCGCTGTTAGGGAAATAAATTTGAGAGAGTGAGATATGTCAATTAAAGGGACTTGAGCATTAAGGGAAAGAGGATGTTTCTTACTATAGAGAAATGCTAGTCTTTGCCTTAGTTTCTGTTTGAATTCAACAGAGGAAATAATATAACAGAAAAAAGACCTTCAGACTGTCTTTATAATAATAATAATAATACACTTTATTTTCTATAGCGCCTTTAAAAGTTAAATCTCAAAGCGCTTCACAAAAATAAGAACAAATAAAACAGAAATACAACAATAAAAGAAAAGCATTCATAAAAGAGAAGTACATTCAAAATATACAATAGAAATATAAAATGTTGTCAAAAGAGTTTCATAAGTAAATGGTATAGAAAAAAAAAAGTTAAAGTAATCCAATAAATCAAATAAAAGCTACCCTTAAAAAGTACGTTTAGATGGAAACTTTACAAACACTCGCTTGCCTAATCTCAGAGGGCAGAGAGTTCCATAGTTTTGGAGCAAATAAAGAGAAGGCCCTATCACCCATAGATCTGAAACGAGTTGGCGGGACAGTTAAAAGACCAGCTTCAGAGGAGCGGAGATCACGCGTTGGCATGTACGGGATTATAAGTTCTGACAAATATTGAGGAGCCAGGTCATGCAAAGCCTTATAAGTAAGCATGAGAATTTTAAGATCAACACAAAACCTGACAGGGAGCCAGTGTAAGGACTCCAAAATGTGAGTGATGTGATCCCTTTTCTATTCCCGGTCGGTCCTAGTCAGGATTCTGGCAGCAGAATTTTGAACAAACTGTAATTTGTTTAAATTAGCTTTTGAAACCACGGCAAGTAGTGCGTTGCAATAATCAAAGTGAGAAAATACAAAAATGTTCATTAATTTTTCAGCCACTGGAAATGATAACATTGGACGTAGTCTGGCAATGTTTGTGAGATGAAAAAAAAAATGTTTTGACTGTATTCTGGATATGAGGATCAAAAGTTAAATTAGCATCAAATATCACCCCCAAATTATCATCAGGTTTTGAATGTATGTAAATCTAAGTATCATCTGCGTAAAATTAAAGTTAAGACCAAGTGATCTTAAAGGGTAACTAAACCCTAAAACAACCTTTTTTAGTTAAAGTCTGTGTTAGCTTTTTTAGGTACAGGGGTTACAGCAGCAATTTTAAATGCTGCTGGCACAACACCAGAGCACAGGGAGTCGTTTATAATACTCAAAACAACAAGGACATAAAGAAGCAAAACATGACTGAAACAGACAAGTCGGTATAGGATCAACAATGGAAGTGGCAGCTTTCATTTGTGAAACCTCATTGCTAAGAGAATGAATGTCCGGTGTAGAGCGATTTGAGAGAGAGATACCTGAAAAATCTGAAATATTTCAAGGAGAAACAGACGGAGCAGTAGTGATAATGCATTTACGAATACACTCAATCTTCGAACTGATGAAATCAAGGAACCTATTACAAAGGTGAGTTGCAGCAGGGACATTTGAGAGACTGTCATATTTGAGCAGTTTGTTAATGGAATGAAACAATTGTCTAGGGTTACTGATATCATTAGCTTAAAAAAATGGCGTATACACATACCTAATATTTCTGTTCAGCAAGGGTGCATAAATTGATCAAAAGTGACATGCAGTAAAGACATTTATAAAGTTACAAAAAATGTCTACTTTAGATAAATGAAAGCGGAAGCGGAAGTTCTAGCAGAAAGACTTCACTGCCACGTCATTAATCTATAATTCTACGCTACCAATCACAGCTTGACATCGAATATAAAAGACTGATCTGTGATCTTACCGTCCCATATTGTTGCCCGCTGGTGTCGTAGCAAAGTTTTCCCCCATCCACCCCACCACCACCAGAATGGCTCCCGTCCAATCGTCGGGGGATAGGCTCCGCCCCTGCCTCTAACATCAGGCAGGACCTACAAGCTAACCTTCAGACCCGGACGGAGGACGGGGCCTACGCCAAAGAACTCTGAGACGGAGCTTGTCGAGCATCTACTTTTATTTTTGTCTGTAAACTCCTTTCACAAATTAAATTATATTTTATTCGAGAATCCAGAGTCTTTATGGTAGAAATGCTATTCTTTTGATCTTTGTTCATCAAAGAATCCTGAAAAAATTAGGGCTGTCAAATGATTAATCACGATTAATCACATCCAAAATAAAAGTTTTTTTTTACATAATATATGTGGGTGCACTGTGTATAATTATTTTGTATATATATAAATACACACAGATGCATGTATATTTAAGAAAAGAAAAATATTTATATATAAAATATTTATATTTATATTTATATATAATATAAATTATATATAAATCTATATACAGTATATACATGAAAATATTTCTTAAATATATACAAGCATGTGTGTGTATTTATGTATATAAAATAATTATACACAGTCCACCCACATATATTATGTAAAAAAAACTTTTATTTTGGATGTGATTAATCACGATTAATCATTTGACAGCCCTAGAAAAAATTTATCACAGTTTCCCCCAAAATATTAAGCAGCACAACTGTTTTCAACATTGATAATAAGAAGAAACATTTCTTGAGCATTCAATCAGCATATTAGAATGATTTCTGAAGGATCATGTGACACTGAAGACTGGAGTAATGGATCCTGATATAAATATATTTTTTTTAAATATCAAAATAGAAAACAGTTATTTTAAATTCTACATTTATTTCACAATATTTCAGTTTTTACTGTATTTTTGATAAAATAAATGCAAGCATTGTGAGCATAAGAGACCTCTTCAAAAACATATTTTACAAAAAAAAAAAAATCTTAGCGAGCCCAAACTTTGGAAAAGTAGTGTAGATTTGGAACCTGAATTATTCATTTGACTTTGTTCACTCTCATGTAATTTATTTCTCTGCATCTATTTGTTCTGAAAGTCCCTTTCCCACAGTACATTAACTGATTTGTATCTGGAATTACTATTTTTTATTGCCTGGCAAATGAATGATATTTAAATTTACGTTCAATACGCTACGTTAATGTGTTCCCGAAACATTCTCATCAAATGTCACTTAGCTAAACAGAGGCGTTCAGTAACTGGGTTGAACTGCAGTGGGTTGTGTGTGTGTTGTAAATTCATGTCTGAAGCAGTCACAAAGATGCAGATTTAGCAATTCAGCACATGAAGTATTCAGCACAGCAGTGATTGAAACAGCACTGATCAATTAAGCATGTGATTTCATTGGAGGCCTTTACATAATATTAGTGCATCACTTACCTTAGGCTTCTTGCGGAGGTTGGGCGAGAGCTTGAGGCTGATGACATGGCCACGGTCATCGCCCACGATGATGATGGGATGGACAGGGTTGAATTCGATTTTCACAGGCCTTTTCTTCCTTGACACCACTATTTGTTGGCAGAGAGCCTCATATTTGTTGACACTAAGGTCGAACACATGAACCTGAGAAAGAAATAGAAGAGGAACAGGAAGTTGTAGTCTTTGTCATTAATGTAGTATCAGTTTATGTTTTGATGTTTTCAGTGTGAAGCAGACATTAGCACCTCTATAATTTATTCTCTTGCTTTGGCTCTGAGTTAGCCTGGTAATACCAAACTCTGCTACTTCGCTTTGCTTCGTAGACAGAGTCTGGAATGGCATAATTGAAAAGTGTTTTCTTTGCCAACATCTCCTCCATTCAAAATGTTTAACAAACACTCTTCTTGTTCGGGCTTCAGTTTGCAAATGCCGGGAATATTCTCCACAACAGAGCGAATTGCATCCCGTGTCTCGATATCCGCGGTCGTTTTCGATTTCCCTAACCTAAAATACAATCTTAAACTCGCCGCTTAGCGTCTACGTCACGGCTCTGATTGGCCGGCTGTTTTCAGGCCGGAGGAAAACTGAGAGTTAGGTCGCCATCTCAGACTGAGTACAGAAGCGAACTGAAATTGAGCGGAAGTACGAAGTCTGATGTAGTCAGGCTAGCTCTGAGTGTCAGTAAGCAAGATAATATATGTCAAATTTACATATAAATTATATAGTGCAGTGCCCATGCAAAATCAGTTTTTGTGTGTGTTTTTAGTAATTGTTGGTTTGGTGTGTTTGAGTGCTCATTGTTACAATTACACAGCAAAAGTTCAGTGACATTTTTATTTGTGTATGGTAGAAAGCAAATACTGATACTGACATAATGACATACAATAAATGTGTAAAATGTAACTAAACGATTCAGGGAGCAGCTACACGGTGAACTCTGAAAAAAACGCTACACTTGAGCAAACAGTTTGTGAATAGACTACTACACATGATGGCGTGAATAAAATATAATATTCAGAAGTAAACTGACTTAGGCCGTGTGTCCACCAAAGCGTTTTTAGCCAGCTGAAAACGCTAGGCGCTCTGCTGAAAACGCCTAGCTGTGGGCGCTTGAGAGCGTTTTGGCAGCGCAGCGTTTTTTCAGTTAAAATGCAATTTAAGCCCTCTAAATCAAAGAGCATCACGATAGTTAAAGGAAAGGTAGTAGATAAAAACATTCTTCATTAATGGTGAGGCAATACCAACAGTTTCTGAGAAGCCAGTGAAGAGTCTTGTGAGATGGTACGACGGGGATCTAAAGGACACAGTTCGAGTGGGAGAAGTTAGACGACAAGCAGTGGAAGGGTTGAAGAGCATAAACAGCTGTGCTCTACCTGGCAAACTAAAACTCTGGTGCTTTCAGTTTGGTCTATTGCCGAGGTTGCTGTGGCCACTGACTGTGTACGAGGTTTCTTTGACAACAGTGGATAAGTTGGAAGCGTTAATAAGTTCATACATTAGGAAATGGTTGGGAGTTCCACGCTGCCTCAGCAGAGTGGGACTTTATAGTAAAGGAATATTGCTGGTTCTTTAAATTCAATTAACTTCAAACGGTTCATTTTCCTTTAAGAAGATTATGCCTGTCGATGTTTACTATGCTATATGTGATCTAAAAAAAAATAGTAGTGCTGGTCCTGATGGTTTGGAAGCTAAATTTGTTAAATCTGCTGCTCATGTATTAATGTATCCTCTTGCAGATCAATTTAATTTGTCATTGTCTACCAATCATTCTATTCCGTCTATGGAAATGTGCAAGAGTTACTCCCTTGTTCAAAGGTGGAGACTCATCGGATGTGAATAATAATCGTCCAATTTCTATTATTTTTTCTATTGCAAAGATTTTTGAGAAACTTATTTTTAATCAATTATCATTGTTTATTAATTCATTAAATATTCTATCTCCGTTACAGTTTGGTTTCAGACCTAATTTTTCTACTACAACTGCTCTTTTAAAATTCACAAATTATGTGTTTTCATCCTTTGACAAAGGCAAAGGCACAGTTGCCATTTTCATTTACCTTTCTAAAGGTGATGATACACAGGGCAACTTTTTGAGCAATGTTGCTGGGCAATCTTGCCGAGCGATTGTTGCTTGGGTACTTTCCCATTGAAAATGGGCAATACATTTCTATCTGGATAATTTAGATCAGTCGTGGGCCCTGTGTCTCATCTGGTTGCCCATTGACGGCAACATTGCCCAGCAACATTGCTCAAAAAGTTGCCCTGTGTATCATCACCTTAAGGCTTTTGATATGGTCAATCATTATCTTCTTCTTGATAAATTGTATTCTATTGGTTTAACTAGAAATGCTCTTTTTTGGTTCAATGCTTATCTTCATAATAGATGTCAATGTGTTGTTTTCCAGGGTTTTCAGTCAGATTATGTAATTGTTGAAAAAGGTCTTCCACAAAGTTCTACTCTTGGACCATTGCTTTTCTCTATTTTTATTAATGATTTACCTCAGATATGCTCAAATTTTTCGGTACACCTTTATGCTGATGACACTGTCATTTACATCATTGTTACAAATTCAGAATTCTTTACATTCTGATTTTAATTTAGTTCAAAAATGGTGTCATAACAATATGCTTATTGAATAAGAGGAAATCTTGTTGTATGATGTTTGGGATACGTCATAGTCGTTGTCATTCCTATCCTTTTGATTTGAATATTATTTTTGATGATGGCTTATCTCTTGATAATGTTGATTCATTTAAATATCTTGGCCTTTGGATTGACCCTGAACTTACTTCTAAGCCCCATATTGATTATATTGTTAATAGAACATATTATTGTCTGCGTTCACTTTATCACTCAATCAATTGTTTTACATTTCAAGACAGGAAAATAATTGTTTCTCAGTTAATATTACCTCTTATTGATTATGCCGATATTGTTTATCAAAATACTCATGATATTTATCGTAAGCCTCTTAATGTTGTTTACAATTCTTTGTGCAGATTTGTGTTAAGGTGTCCATATCGTACTCATCATTGTCATATGTATGAATTGCTTAATTGGTTGCATCCTAAATCTAGAAGACAATTCCATTGGCTTCTGTTTATTTTTAAATGTGTTTATTTTGTTTGTCCTTTTAATTTGAAACAATTTTTGATTCCATATAGACCTTCTTACTCACTTAGACATACGCAATATATATTTTTACATGCATCAAAGGTAAAAAAACTGTTTCATTTCCTCATAATATTCATTTGCACATCACCACATTTTCAATGATTTTTAAACGACTCAGATGAATCAATCTCTCTAAATCCCTCCTTTCCGCAAGCTACTCTGCTCTGATTGGCCAGACAGCTCAGTCTGTTGTGATTGGTTTACTGTGTACAGCGCGCACGTCGAAAACAAAAACGCCCATTGCCATAACGTCAGCTCTGCGTGTCCTGAGGCTTCCTACACCGTAAACTAAACACAGAAATGAACAATGACGTTGATTTTACCATATCAATCCGAGCGCGAGTCCGAATGATGAAACATTGGAAGAACTAGTCATTCAACCCGAACCTCCATCGCAAGGACAACTCGAGCAGGACGTTTCTTAGTGATACGCTACTTAGTTTGAGGTACATTATGAGATGTTGCAACTGTAATTCCTCACCATCAGCATTAACAAGTGCATGTCCATCAACAAACTGATTATTTTACTTGTACTCATTTATTTACAGAGTATTTTTCTAATATATCGCGGTGAATACGTGGAAACTGTATCAATAACAGTGCATGTATGCAATGTACATTAGCCGAGCTCTAGCGTGAATGATCTGATGTAACATAAACATTGGTAAAACAAATATTTCCTCAAAGTAGTGAGAACCACAGACAATCTGCATTAATAGACACAGTTTTAGGTAATAGTGGCCCACAGCTGATCAGCAGAAGTATTTCAGTAAGAAAGTAATAATGTGAGTTAGCAGGAGACCTACACAATATAAAAATCAAAACAATTTTTTTTGAACACCATCTTTCAAGAGCAAGCGGTTTGTGAATCCTGTATTGAACTCCGATATTTGAGAAGTCGTCAGTAAAATAAAGGGAACACAGCAAAAGTTCAGGATTATACTGCTGTGGAATCGTGGTAAAGATTAATTTTAACCACTGATTCTTCACATGCTCGTCCTTGGGCAGTGAAAAAAAACTGGCTTTAACTTCACATTATAGAGCACAGCGCCGTCTTCTCGACATGATGCTGTCCAGTATCCACAGGAAGGTTCAAGTTTTCCCTAGTGTCTGCACGCGCAATAAGTGGGCGGGCAATATGCTAATGTTTCGTCTTGACGTCACAACGAAACGGCTTATGATCGTTTGAAAAACTATTCATTTAATTGACTCAGAGTCAACTCTTACTTTTGAAAGACAATAACTTGATATACGGTGGACTTTCAGATTTTAGAGCTATGTTACACACTATATGAAAGGTCATTTTCAAAAATCCATAATAGGGGCCCTTTAACTTTTGGTTTTATGTTTTTTTGTTTAAATTGAGTGTATGTATGTTTTACTCGCACAAGCAGAGTGTGAGTGTTTGTGTGTGCTACAGCTTGATGCAGTCAAGCGCCGTTGGAAAGACGTCCCACTGTCAGCCTGCTACTGTGTTTCATTAGCAATCATCATCATGAAAAACGTGCTTTAAGTTGAAGTATCCAGAAAGTTTCTATTTTAAGGTGAGGGGTTATTAAATGTATTATTAATGTTATCATATTTATTACTTTTTTGTTGTTATTATTATTATAAAAAATATATATATAAAAAGGATTTTATCATATTGTGAATTTTACCATTGTGTTTGTATTAGAGGGGTTGGTTGGCTGTTTACCTTTCTATCAGTGGTGATAGCAGCAAAGACAGTGGAGGAGTATGGAGCCCAGGCCACATCTGTCACATCAGCTCCCAGGTCAAAGGTGAACACAGGAGACCTGGAAGAGACATGTATTGTTACTGGAATAGTAAAATACTTCAGATAAGCTACTATTCAGTCAAAACAATATAACAGTGAGACATCTTTAAAAACCTCATCAGGACTTCCCGGGGCAAGACAGTCACAATCAGTAAGAAAAAAGGGAAGGTTCAACAATATCGACATCATTAGTTTAACATAATCCAAATGAAAGGAGTCTGCTTCTCATTTTGAGGTGACAGATGAATTTATCTCCTGGCGTTTGTCTGAGCACCAGACCTGGCAATACTCTTTATATCACTGCCCATGTCTGTGCAGGGAGCCACCTGCCACTCTCTTAGAGCTGTTAACATGAGACTAAGGTGATCAATTGTCAACTTAACAGATCACAGATCAAATAACACATTTATTCTAGTAAGGGAAAATTAATATACATGCAAAGTTATATATATTTATTCCTGTGATGGCAAAGCTGAATTTTTGGTCATGGCCATGACTCTAGTCTTCAGTGTTAGAATCAATCTAATATGCTGAGTTTGTGCTCAAGTAACATTTCTTATTCAGTTGAAACGGTTATACTACCACGTATTTTTGTGAGCTGTGATACATTTTTTTTCTTGATTATTTGATGGCGAAATTTTTTTTATTTGAAATAGAAATCTTTTGTAACATTATACATTTCTTTACTAGAGATGAATTTAATGCATCCTTGCTGAGTTAAACTATTAATTTCTTTCAAGAAAATAAAAACTTTTGAATGGTAATGTAAGTGTTTTAACAATACAACAAGCTTCTAAACAACTTTGCTCCAGACTTTCATTGTAAATGCAATCATGTAAACAATCTGTGTTTGATTTCACAAATTGAGGGGCAAGTCAAAATTGTTGTCTGTGGTGTCACAGGATGCTGAAAAGTCAAAATGAAAAAATCTATTCGGTCAACTTGTAATATATGAACACACTTCTAATTGCTTATCCTGCCATTGCAGATCCTACGATTCACGAACACTTCAGAAGGTATAGCTCTATCCACCTTTTTTTTTTTTAATCACCTTTTTTTTTTAATGCAAGAGTGGCATAGTCATTTGTAAATTGAATGTGTCTGGCTACTAACATGTACACAAAATGTGCAGTCAAGAGAAAGATTCATTCATTATTATTAACTCAAAGGTGTCTTTTTGCGGAACAGAGACAGTCTAATTGATTTGTCAAATTTAAAATTAAGACATTTTAAATTAAGACAACTGAAGGATAAGTTTTAGAGGTGGAAAAGGCTGCTGTAAATATAGTGCTACAGGGAATAAGTGCTCATACTTAATTCTCTCATCCCAAATTTTCACCATCCAGTCCAAGCCGCAGGAGATGAAGACGTTGGAATAGATGGGATTCCACCTCACACACTGGACACTCATGAGGAAGTGTGCATCATACGCCTCTAGGAAAGTGCTAGAAATGTATTTAAAGCCCTGTGAAAGACAAACAAACTCATTATTGGTTAAATTACCATGAAAAAAATGCTGTTTTATAAAACAACACTCTTGCTCCTGTTATACTGCTTAATTATCTGTTGGTGAAAAGTGATCCACATAATTTTTCTTGTTTTGTTTGTTTTGTGCTGCTCTGGAGATTGTTCGATCCACCAAGCACGATCCATCAAGTTTAAAGCATAAATCCTGCATCATCCGTTTAGCTATTTTTTTTACTTTATCTTTATTAAAAATATATACGTATACATATATATAAAACTTAAAAAAGAAAGTCTGCAAGCATCTGTTTAGCTTTAATGGTTGTTGCATGTCACATAGATGCTTATTTTTTTATAATTCATGCACATCGCAAATGCCCGTTTTGATAAGAGGAATTAAAAGCACTGTATGTGTGTGTGTGTGTGTATGTGTGTGTGTAAAAAGTAAATAAAGTAGAGTTTTCTTTTAAGGTCAGGGTGTGGGTTAAGGTTAGGTTACAGTATTTTTAACTAATTAATTAATAGAAGTCTATGGAATATCCCCATTTAAATAGCGAAGTAAACGTGTGTGTGAGTGTGTTTTGTAGAAGTGGAGGGATGTTGGAGTCAGTAGGAGTGAACATTTTAAAGAAGAACAGCACTTTGAGATTTTGTTGAAATGTAAAGTGCACTATAAATAAAATGTATTATTATTATTATTAAGAACATGTGTTTGCCTGTGATGTATGTAATTTAGAACAAAACAAGTTATACAGACCAAAGAATGGTATGAGATGAGAAACAAAACTGTCTGGTCTGTCAAAATAAATAGTTTAAATGCTAAATGACTCAAGACTGCAGATGTTCACAGGGCATTTGTTATTGCGATATATACAGTATATATACTGTATTTAAAAACAATGTTTGGCTGAATGATTGTATGACTGACCTTGGTGTAAATGATCATATTGGATGTGATGGTATACGACTGACCTTGTAAATCATTCCAGATTGAGAGGCAACAAGAAAAAACCAGTCATATTGTTTATGACTGTCCAAAGATGTTCCAGCTAGAACCACAGAGAAAATATCTTCAGTGAGGATAATACATGAGTGCGTGTGATTTTTACACCATTAGCACCTTTATTGCATTTGACATTTTAACTGTTTTTTTCTGTTCTGTGTGATTTCTAAAAACAGATATGAACATAAATGGAACTGATTAGAAGCTCCCTTGAGAAGTATGCGTTTATAACAAATAAACTAGGTGGTTCATACCTGTAGCAATGACATCCTTAAGGTCATCAGGAACTTTGTCCATGGCTGGGAGTTTGATGATGTCTGTGAAGACTAGTTCATGCTGAAATCCAAATGATTGGCATCAATTAACTTCTTACAAAAAGGACTTGTTTTAGAATCAACACTTAGATTTTTCCTTCTGTACCTCTCTTAGTGTCCAAGACCCCACTTGTCCATCAGCGGACACAGAGATGAAGTTGTGATTACTGTCCAAATGATCTTCCTGCCACTTCACCTGTAACGAAGACAATGAAACAGAGCCAAGACTTTTTTATCAACCAACAATCACAAAAACTATTCAAGCACTGAATTAAAATCTGTATTTAATTATTTTATTTAAATACATTGCCATTCAAAAGTTTGGGGTCGGTAAGATATTTGAATGTTTAAAAAGCCTCTTATGCTCACCAAGGCTGCATTGATTTGATCAAAAGTAGTTAAATATTATTATATTTAAATAGCCATCACTTCAGTGTCACATGATCCTTCAGAAATCAATATTAATATTAATTTGCTGATTTGGTGCTTGAGAAACATTTCTTTTTATTATCAGTGTTGGAAACAGTTGTGCTGCTTATCAGTTGTTTGTGGAAACTATGATAAAAAAAAAAAGCAGGATTCTTTGATTAAAATAATCTGTCAGAAATTGTTTTTGTTTGAACAGTAGTGTATACAATATGTTTAAAAAATAGTGCATACTGCACAAACACAGTATACAGTACTGTATATACTTCATATTACAGAACTAGTAAGAGTAGTATTCATATTACAGAACTAGTAAGAGTAGTATTCTATTCCGACCATTGTATTGACCATTTTCATATCATAGGTAATGATGGTTTACTGTTATTATTTTACCCATGACTCCATGGTCATATCTTCATCCATACCTGCATCACAGGGCCTTTGTGTTTCCCGGAGCTGGCTGTGCTTTTATAAATGGGCTGCTTACTCTTTTCCAGCAGGCTGTACACTGCGACACAGCCATTATTCAAACCCACAGCCACCAGGTCGGACAGTTGTTTGTGGATGTCTATGCACATTACGCCTGAGTCTGTGTTAAAGATGAATTCTGGGTAAGTGTGCATCTTCCGGGTGTAAAAGAGAAGCATGCCCCCACGATCCTCATGAGTATATCCATCTTGAGGGGTAAGATGAAACACACTTAAGAGTCATTTAGCTTACAAATGATTCCTTGTCTAAGGTTTTCTCTCAAAGTAAATAGTAAACTTACATGACCCAAGACCAACAGCGAACAAATCATTGTATTCAGTACTCCTAAAAATTAACGAATACAAACGTCACTCAAAGAAGTGCTTCCTATTTCACTAAAAAAAACACATTGTTTTAATTAAGTATGAAACTCACCAGCAGAGGGCAGTCACAGACAGTCCTTTGGCTTTATCATACTGGAATTTCCAAAGCGGGAGAAGAGTGCCCTTCTCTCCTCGAAATTCATCAGCGGGATCCTCAAAGTACAGGAAATCTGTGATTTGGATATAAAGCTGTTAAACATTTTTAATGTCTGTCCATCCGTCAGTAATCCAAAATAAATGGTGTAGCAGTGAAAAGAAATGTTTTCTCTAGATACCATCTGTAATGTCTCCATATATATTTTGAACCACTGCACGCTCCATCATCTTGACTGCATGAGCTAGGTGGGATATGTCATGTTTCTGGAAACACAAGAGAGGATTTTTTCCCCTTTAACTAACCTTTTAAACAAATCAATCACACTCTTGAATTAAATAAGACAAATCATTTTCTTGATCACTTTTGAACACAAGAAATAGAAACATGGATAAATAATCATCCCAACATCCCTATAATGTGACATTATGTTGACCACAGACCACAGGTCCTCTTCAGGTTTACGCACTTTATAGGTAAAATTCCGAAGACCTGAAGGCTCTGCAGAAGCCGGTGCCTCCTCCTACAGGACAAAAGACATGTTAAATCCAAAGCTCCTTGTGAAAGATATGTGACAAAGCATTCATTTCTAACTGGATGAAAAGTCTGAACTAAATAAGACAAGAAACATGTATAAATAATCATCCCAACATCATTATAATGTGACATTAGGTAGAGTGAGATCACAGGTCCGAAGGTTTACGCACTTCCTCACTTGAATCCTGCCAGTACCAGTCTTCTCCCTTAGCTGTGCACTGTAAAAAATAATAATAATTTTAAGGAATTTGTACCGTTTTATTTTACAGATATTTCCTGTATTTTGGAAATACGAAAAATGTCTAAAATTACAGAAATAGAAAATTACATTTTCCAATGTAAAATAACATGAAAAACATTTACGTGTGAATAATCATAAAATGCAATTTTTTTAAAGACACTTTGTTTTTAAAAAACATTTGCAAATTTAGCAAGACTTCACAAAATATATTTTTTGTCTAATAGATGAGCTGTTGTAGACCTTTTACCGGAATGAACAGAGAGAAAGAAACAGTGCAGCCCAGCCAACATTTATTCACCTTATTCTTAATCATAGATTGTAAAGATTGTATTTTATTGTATGAAGCTGGCTTTTGCCAAATCGTTTTAAGCTATAGTTACTCTGCGTGAACCGAGCAGTTGACTTGAATGAAGGGCGAAATGTACGTTTTTTTGTGGTTTATGGTTGCTCACAAACTATCCTAAAATAATCAGTTTGTGGAAAAGAATCAGACTTCCCATCACTAGCTACTCTGACTGACCACACCTTGTTCTGCTGGCCTGGGTTCAGTGTTTCATTACGAATTTCTTCTCATAATAGCATATAATAATATCATAGGCTAAGGCTAATCACACATTCTTTGTTGTAGAACGCAGATATTTAAATGACAATTATGACGATTTTAAACTTTTGAACTGAAGGAATTTGCACCCTGGCGCAAGGATACAGTCTCTAAGCACTAAGCACTAGAGACTGTATCCTTGCTTATGCAGTCATGGCAGAATGGTCAGATTCTGATTATCGATACCGGCAGGAAAATGTAGGTGGGGGAAAGTGAATGAACATAAAGTTCTCACGCTATTCTTGGTATATGATCATTTTGGGATAGTAAAATATCCCACCACTTACTGGTGCGTTCAGGTCGCACTCAATCACCACTCCATTGGTGAATTCGGAACTACACACTAACCTACTACTCCTATTTCTGTCATAGAAAGATATTGTAAAAGTAGTAAGTAGTGCACTAGTATGTGGTTCCGAATTCAGCACATGTCTGGTCTAAATGCAATCGCCCTTATGTTTTGCCGCAGGACAGCAATTGTGAGTTAATATTCTGTCATCTTTGCAGGAATGTAATATGAAGATTATACAAAGTAAGATGTATCTTTAGCAACACTTATTGGGTTTCCATTTTTTATGGTGACTTGCCATAGACAATGATTTTTATAGTGTGCAAACTGTAGGCTATATTCTATCCCCTGAACCTAACCCTACTTGCATTTTTATTTATATTTAGCATTTTTCAAAATTAGCATGATTTATAAGCTGTTTTCCTCATGCGGACGACAAAAAAAAGCTGCACAAGTTCAAAAATGACTCGTATTGCCATCGTTGGGGACGTTTGGGGAACTAAATAAGACAATTTAAATAAGACAAGTAATTTTCTTGATCATAGTGTACTCGATTACAATCTGTGTCAGATCCACTGATTTAGATCATATTTGTTGTCTAGCCACCTGAGTCTCCTCGTCATCCTCCTCGTCCTCCTCATCTAGGATAGGGCGTTCTTCCTTATTTTTATTTGTCTCTCGCCTCTTAAGTTCCTCTTGGTAAAAATCATAGATTTCTGACTGCAGAAAGAGCAGGTCATGCTAACATTGAACATGTCTGTATTCACAACAATGCAAGCATAGTTCCGTTTTTTACTGCAGGTATACCACAAAAGTTGCTCAAAATAATTTACCAGCAAGATTTTCTCACCCGACTGGCATTAGCTGAGAAGTTTCCAAGAGGCTTGGGTTTACAAGCTACATCCTGCAAAACATCATACAAAAGAGCAAAATGCAGTTGGTTATGCATAAACTGAAAATACAGAAAACCTACAAAGTCTTCTGGGCTCAACATTAAGCCTTGTCATGTGCTTGTCTTTCGGACAAGTAAATCAATCCCTTTCTTAATTCTCAGAGTATTTTTGGTGGTGTAAATATAATTTATTCTGAAACAATATTCTCATCAGTGTTCTATCTGCGTTTACATAGCCTACTTAAATCTGCATATTTGTGACATTTGCATTTACCCCAGGGCTTTATTTACCTTTTATAATGGCCAATTTTTTTATTTCTTATTTTATTTTATTGGCAATATTAAATTAATGCATCCTCTTTCATATCACATTCTTACATTTTATCAATAAATTCAGTTATAATAAGACACTATAGGGCTGTTCAATCGAATTAAATAATTTACACTGAAAAATTACAACTGCAGTAAATAATGTTATGAGACTGATGTTTTAAATAAATGTTTGAATATACAAATAAAAAATGCAATGATGCTTTAAACTGTCTTAATGAGTGAGTCATTGAGTTATTCATTCAAACGATTCGTTCATAATGCCGAAACATTCAAAACACAGCGCTGAGTGTTTTCCTTTGGAACTATTTTCGTCGGTGAAATAGAACACAAACAGTCAATATTGTGTCTAAAAATGAAAGTAACTTAATATTAACTAAGTTACGTGTTATTTATTTCTTATTTATTGAACTATAAAGTCAATGTAACATTTGCAATCGTGATAATATTTAGCAGAACAGCTCCCTTATTTGGGTTTTGTTAACTATATCATATGTTATAAATAAAAATAACTTCTTTTTTTTACCACAGTAACTTATGTTTCTTGTGTGTGCTGTTATGCTATTTTGCTTTAATTTCTCCACGAAAGTCTCTCACTGAGACAGGCAGCGAGCCTAAACAACGCGACCTTGTTAGCAGAAATATCCCTCATCAATCGCTGTTTACATTGAATGTAAGTTAATAAAACCAAAATCCTAGTTGTTTTTTGTCATTGAAGTTAAGTAAAATTCTCTTTTAACGTTAAGTTACTTGCCCCTTCAAAAATACACTTCTCCTGGACAAGCGCATGTCGAGCCCATCTAACTTATCTATTTTCTTTTGATTACGAATTTGCATTCGCTGTAATATCGTTAACATAACGTACCGGTTCAGATTTCACTGCTGCGTTTTGAGAAACGGACATTTTTCTTTTTTGCTTATTTTACCTTATCAATTTACAAAACAATTACTCCTCTGAAACGTCTAACAGTTGTAACTGCCAGTGTTTTTTAGTCGTTGTCATGGCAGCGGGATGTGCATGCGCATAATGAGATATTCATATTCCTTACCTCGTCAAACCCAAACCCAAACCGGCTAGCGGCTACATACAATGCCCCAAACCCAGGTAGCCCTCTACTCAAACCGCTTCAAACTTTTGAAAGGTGGTGATGTGTAGGGCCAAAATAAACAAAAATGCCCCCCAAATTAAAGATAATAGGGCAATATACCCCACACAATTAAACTAAATCTATTACGGCTGTCGTGATTAAAATTAAATGTGAAAATGAATTAAAAGTCGAGTGCGCCATCACATAGATCTGCTCACGTTTTTTTAAAATGCGTTTCTCCTCCTGTGTGAGTTAAACATAATTCCCTCAGCTCAAAATGACCCAAAGCATTAAAAAAACGACACTGTTTACTGTTTTTTTTTTTTTTTGGTCCAGAAAGCTTATGTTGTTTTAAACAAAAAAACTAAAATTAAACTTTCAGTTAAATACAAAATAAGTAAAAATAAGTGGCAAACAACAGACCTTATAACAGCAGCGCCATCTTTGATTTTTAACAGGAATTAAAGCAAGGTTTTGAGGGATAGACATAAGCTACATCTCTTCAGTGTTGTAGTAGCCTGTTATTCAATGTGTTTGTATGGATTGTTCTGCTGACGAAACACAAAATAGCTAAATATCTTTCCAAGAAATTTTAGTAGACAAAATTCTCCAGACAACATGAGCGGTGTAAAATTATTAATGATAGGCGCTTTATACAGCTTTTTAAAGCGGATGCCATTGAAAACACCGCGTACTGTGTTACACAGCTTGCCATTGAAAACACAACATAGACTTCTCTCACAGCCTCGCTTTCATACCTGTCATTGCGCTGCTCTGATTAAGGTCGTCTCAAAGACTGTGATGAAAGCCAGAAACTGTATAAGAGAAAGAGAACATAAAAAGCTGTAGTTTGCAATCATGGCAGATAAGACTGAATCCATTCAAAAGCAATAGAATCATCTTAGAACATCTGATATTTCCAGTCCTGCATGAGATGTTTCACTTGATTTTTTTATAGTAAAATGAAATGCCTGTTGTGTAGAATACTACAGAACTGACTTGCAGGTGTTTAAACATCAGACAAGTGAGAACAATCCATTGCAAAGGAGCTAAAAGTCTGTTGGATTTATTGGCTTCTATTTCATTTCTTCATTGCTCATTTTGACTCCTCTCTGTCCATCTTTACTCTGCCATATGGTCAATCAGCAAGTAGTGACTGTTGTGGGAGCGGCAGGAGGGGAAGATGACTCTGTGTCTCTGCTGTTTGTGTTACGAAAAGCAGGTTTATTCTGCATCTTTCAGTGTAGATACTAGGGGTTGAACCGACTAGTCGATTAGTCGACTAGTCGACCTTAATGAAACACCGCGACGCTTTAAGCTTGACGTCGACTAGTCGCGATGATCATGTGACACTATGATTGCGCTACTTTTGATACTAACATGTTGCAGACGACAACAGATGAAGAGCACAGAGGGACATTTTTTTTTCATTTATTTATTTAAACATATTAATGATGTAGCTAATTCACCCGCAGTTAATTGGAATATTATTTTGTATTACTTGGATCTGCGCATCACTAAGGCACAGATGTGAATTTATAGCTTTTTTCCCTTTTCTTTTCATCCTAAATGATGATGTAACTGCGGGCTGTTTACACCAGGGCACTTCATGTGTTTCTGTGATCTGATAGCTATATCCGATCGTGAAAAGACCAGGTGTAAATGCCCTCCGAAACGCACTCGAGACGGATTTAAATCCGATCGCTCAAACCCCCTCAGGAGGAGGTCTGGGCTGCTTAACAGACGAAACTGGACAAGTGTAAATGCATCTGGTTGTTGAAACTGGACTTCTCCCAACAATGCTAAAAATAAACGTGTGAGAGCGTATTATAGCGATGAAGCTATGGCAACACGCATCGCCGCATATGAGCAGCTCGAGCATCTATTCATCAAGCCAACGTGCAAACTATCGCAAATCAAAGTGAAAGTAAGTCGCAGACGCTTAACACACAATCATCTTCATTAAAAGTAAAGAAACAGAAATGATCTTACCAGTGCTGTCTCTCTTATTGCGGTCTTTGATTTTGAAATTAACTGATGATCAATAAAATGCAGCTCATTATTGTTGCTTTCGGTGACGTGAACTCCGTTAAATCTGCATAGCGCGTTGTTTGAAGATCGGATTTATATCTGTTTTGCGAAAACATATTAATGTGACCAGGTGTAGGCTAAATGGCATCGTTTTGATAAATCAGATCAGTAAAAAAACATGAAGTGACCAGGTGTAAACGGCCCCATTATGAGCTGTCTGTCAACATCTGTATAATTTTCTGTTAATTAATTGCAAATTGTGGCATGTTGCAAAGCAGTCCCATCTCTTGTGTTTTTATGAACGACGTCATCGACTAGTCGACGTCGACTCGACTTTGATGTCATAACAGTCGACTTAAAAAAATCTGAAGTCGTTCAACCCCTAGTAGATACACACCATGGAGAACAGGCATTTTCTCTATGCTACTCTCATTTCTGACATTTTCTCACATTTACACCTTGTTACACCTTGGAGAAAATGTCAAGGTCTTACTTGCACTCGACTGTACTGTACTGGTAACAGAATATAACAGAACACACGGTTTTCCTCCGCACTGAGTTGGGCTGCTCTGAAAAGGGCCTCAGTAAGAGAAGAAGAGAGAACCAGCAGACATCAAAGGTAAGGTATTATGGCAGAGTCTTCAAAATTTACTGTCCTCTCGTCTTTGAAACGAAACTTTAATACGTTTAGATGTAATTTTATATATAGTTATGTTTATTTAAAGTCCCCGTGAACCGGAAGTTGCAAACGACTTTTCTCCAGTGTTGTGACGTATTTCCGAGAGAAACGGAATACTAAATGAGGCAAAATGGTGGGCGTGGCTTTTCCCCCAACTAGCACCTGATTGGATCTAGAAAAGTAGGTGTTTTCATTCAGCCTGTCTACTGTCAGTTGGAGGGGCGTGATTACGGATGTTAAGAAGACGCCCAAACCGTGAAACCTACGTCATCAGGCAAGGTCCTCCAACGCAGAGGGGAGGGGAAATTTCAGATTTTGATTAAAGATTACAAAGCCAAAAAAATTTTTGGTGTGGATTGACTTGCATGGATGAATTCGCCTTTGGCTAAGCCCCGCCCCCCCCTTGTTACTGTTGCTACGTCCGACAAACAAACTTCATCTGGGCTCTGGTAATGCTCTGGTATCAACATGGCTTATGCTGTGACAGCTCTTCCTGCTGAAATTTTATCAAACTTTTATAAAGCAGCATATAAAGTGTCCGATAGAAGTAGGCAAAAGGGCTGCAATATACGTTCGAAGGCTATATTCACGACATACATGTGAAACGCAAGGAACAACAAGGCATCCAAATAGAGGCAAAAGCATACCGGTCACAGTCAAAAAATGAACCACCGCATATCCTACTAATCGAGACGGAGGCTGGGACTAACAATATCAAGGAGCAACACTGTTCATGCAAAGCTGGGTAACGTTAGGTCTCTATTCACTTCTATAATCGTTATTACAAAGCAAACGGACTACGCATAACGTTGTATTTATTAGCAGCGTGTGCTAGACGACACTTGTCAGGATTTGACTTCGGTTTGGGAAGGCAAAAAAACGGACACCCCCCTCCAACCTGTTTGGGAAACGCGTATCTGTGTTACAAATGCCCCAGGCACAACGTTTAACCATATTTTTGATAAAACTACGACGGTAATAGCCTGCCGAGACCAAAAATATGAGACGCGGCGCCTGTGTTAAAGTCAATGGAGCGCTGTGAAAAGTGTCGGACCACTGTGGGAGCTCGTTCTTGGCTGCGCTGTGATTGGTCAATCTACATTGTAGGGGTGTGGCTTAGCCAAAGGCGAATTGTTCACCACAAAACGATCAATTTAGGCAAACAAAGTAAGTATGGTCAATTTTGAATTCATGGGGACTTTAATATAATAAAACTCTATTGCTATACTAAAGAAACGTTAGTCACAAAAACAGACACTCCTCATTTTGTTTATGCTTCTGTGTCTAAATATTAATTATTGAGTTGGGCCAACTTTAAATGAAAACACAATTAAAAACAACAACAACTTTTTATTACCAAATATACTATTAATAAGATGGGTGACCCAAAATACCCATATTATAACAAATAAATAAAAGATATTTGGAAATTGCCCTTTAAAACGTAGGCTCAGTTTGTGGTCAACCGTTCACTATTATTTTATTGAAAACAATAAAACAAAGACGAAGTCACTTATATTAAACACTTTTTTTTTTTTTTTTTTGTTAACAGAAGTTATCTTGCCCCTTTAATTGCCTCCGCTATCATCCTGTCAATCATCTGTCTCATTCTCGCGGCTCGCGGCTATGATTACAGTTTCAGTAAAATTTAATTTCACCATTATCGGTACCCACCCTCAGCCGATTGGCATAATTATTACAGTATTTGGCGTTTTCTCATTTCTGCTTATTTAATTTCAAATTGGAAATCAAATGATCGGATGATACACGGAGCGTTTGGGTTGCTTATGACGTTCATATGGAAACTAGGGGTGGGGGAAAAATAGATGCATCTAAAAATAATAAAAATGTATATACTTTTTAACCACAATTGTTTGTCTTGTGCTTTCTTTTACTGTCTGTGGTCTTGTGCTGGTCTGCGAGGCGCCAGGCATATTACGTAATCACGTTGAAAAGGTCACGCTGGACGTAGGCTGAAGTAACACATGTAGCCTATGTTGTGTTGTAACCTCTATGGTTGTAACTAGTCTAGTAACTTTTACCATATGATTATGATCACCCCGTTTACATTATGGCACGGAAACGTAATGTAGCCGCCTGGCCCGTTTTTACACTTAACCACAAGGTTTCACAACGAGAACCGTTCACGAAATCGGCCTAATGGAAAGATCCGGTCATTCCTTTTTGGCATTGTTGGGGAATTTTGTTTACCGGGAAAAGCAAGATAACTGGCAATATAAATTTTGTCTAATGTTACTAAGATTTAACGTCTTTGTAATGTCTAGGATAAATGCAATGGACCTTTTTTTTCCATGACGTGTTTTAACGGTCATCAGCATTGTAAATCCTGAAATGTTTTTTTTTTATAAAAAAACAAACAAACAAAGTTTGTACATTTATTACATTCTTATATTTAGTACCTTTGCATCTGAGGGTGCAATTATTTTCTTTATAACTGTTACAGCGGCTGTGGGAGTGACGATACAATTGACATCTTATCTCTTCTGACTGCCGTTATCAATCTCTCTATTTAAAAAAAAAGTTATTTAAACAATATTGTGGAGTTTTTCTTTTGCCATTTGAGCAAATGGGAATGCAAAAAAATATATTTAATGTACTCCCTCGAAGTTTACCCAGCAACTAACGTTACGACTTCCGCTTCTGAGAAACCCGGAAATGTGAAAAGGGTCAATCAAATATATCACAACACACTCTGTAAGAAAACTAATTTAATTAAAAAAAAAAAAATAATTGTTAGAGATAAAATAATAAACTTTGCACCCACTACAAATCATCTTCTTGAGACCAGCTGGTTAAAATTAATTGCAAAAATGGTGAACAAAACGGGTTGGTTCTGAGAAAATGTCTACCATTATTTACATTGACAGTATATTAATATTTTGTTTTGACGTTAAATATCTTATTCAATGAATTTGATACTTTACAGTTTGGGAAGTGCGTCCAACGCGTCCAGGTACTTTTTTTAGAAGCATCATACTGTATATTTGTGCTTGTGCAAGTTTTTTTTTAACCAATTCACTGTGTGGTAGGAGATGCGAGGTCAAAGGACTGATGTAGAGCAGCTTCTCAGACAGTCACAGACTGAACTGCTGTGGATCCAGCGACAGCTGTCAATCATAGCAGCACGAGATGCCATTCATCCTTGTGCCCAAAATAAGGTGAGTAATCCTTTACATATACACATGAATTTTAAGATTTATCATATGCAGTAGTTTTAGTAACAATGATGGTTCTTGTGCACAAGGTGGCGCCATCCTGCTATATTTATATTTACACAGCCTCACATCCTCATCTACCAATCAAAGTAAAGAACCTGCACGGTAGCTAATGCAGAGTGTGTTTGTGTCATGTGAGGAAATTACAGGTGATTCATGCAGACAGAGGGTGTGGTTGCAATGCACTGGAAGTGCAGGCCTGGTCCCCTCCCTTGAGACTAGACATGCCATCTTAAACTGATGCATTTGTAGAGGACTGCCCCAGTGCAGAGGGATATGGGGGACTAGGAGCAGCTGGGGTTGCTTGGCAACAGAGCAGAGGAGACTGTAACACATTCTGTATTGGGAATCTGTTTCCTTTTTTCTTTTTTTTGTGCCTCCAACGTGACCTGTTTCCTCAGCGCAAAGAGTGGCTAATGGCCAGGATGTGCCTACCACACTGTCTAAGTAATCCCTTTTAATACCCCTGTGTGCCTTAAAATCTGATGTAACTGTGATTTTCCGAGAGGGTGAACTTAATTTCCCTTGTCTAGTGTGGTTGCGGGATGAATGGAGCGGAACTCCACTGTTTTCTTCCTCCTTTCTGTTCCTTGAGATAACAATCGCAGTAGGATGAGATAGCAATACCAACATGTATGTTTCCAAGTGGCATATGTAGAACAAGATGAATTGCATAAAGACGGAGATGTAAAGTAGAGGACGCATGTGTTGATTGCAAAGATATAAAGTCTCCATATTTCATATTTTACAAATGAACATGAGGCTGTGAGAGATAGACAGTCTGCTTGCATTCTGCAAGTGAATGGCGCCTTGTGGTGCTATCCCAAAGAGGTACAAAATCACTTTCACAGACCTTTATCTTGACTGTTCCCTGTTGGTGGAATGACCTGCCTAACTCAACCCGAGCAGCTAGTATTTTCAAGAAACGGCTAAAGATGCATATTTTTCGTCAACACTTAATACTAACACTTACTATTCTATTTCTGTTTTTTATTTATTTTATTTAATAAAAAAAAAAAACTTGCTACGTGCACTCTGCTAGACTAACTGGGAATTGTCACAGCACTTACATATTGTTGCCCTATTGTTGGTTTAATGGCTTCTATTGTCTGCATTTGTAAGTTGCTTTGGATAAAAGCATCTGCTAAATGATTAAATGTAAATGCAAGGTCGTGTCATGTCTAGGTTTGTTGCTATGAAATTTTCAGTTTAACTCATTAGACATAGTGTATGTCTACTACTTACAGCCTCATTTTCAAATGTGAAAAATTAAATATGCTGTTCACATTAAGGCTCGTGAAAAAAAGAGAGAAAAAAACCCAGGAGGAATGTCTTGCTACAATTAGTTTGAATCATATCGGAGGTGTCACGGTTGTAATGTAATAATAATAATAATACAAAGGTAGAGGATGAACTTAGGTGGAGGGTTTTTATTAGATAGGTAAGAGAAACAACAGAAACAGTAGGTGAATAGATGGCAGTAGTATGATGTAATGATTTATCAACATCTAGTAACTATATATATTTAGTGCTGCAAGAGGGTTTCTGTAGAAAGGTTTAGAGAAAAGCTGTTTACAAATATAAAAAAGACAATAATAAAAAGTAGTAATTTACAAAAAAAATCATAATTATCATTAAAATTTATTTTTAAAAAAAATGCTTTTTTTAAAGGGGACCTATTATGCCCCTTTTCACAAGATGTAAAATAAGTCTCTGATGTCCCCAGAGTGTGTATGTAAAGTTTTAGCTCAAAATACCCCACAGATAATTAAATCGTCACTTTTTGGGGCTGAGAAAAACGCACCGTTTTAGTGTGTCTTCTTTAAATGCTAATGAGCTGCTGATTCACAGCACAGGGGGTGGAGCCTAACCAGCTCGCGCTCAGTGAACAATCTCAACTCACGGAAAGATGATAATAATATCAAAACAGAAACTCACAGTAACGGTGTTCATTTCGACTCGGACAATAATGCCTACAGAGTCAGAGAATATATGAAGTATGGAGTTGGAACAGGAATAGTTTAGTTTAATTACGGTTAACCTATGTGTCATTGACATTGATTGTAGCCACTATTAATACAAGCCTGCTGTAGGACCATGTCTGAATGATGACACAAAATATACTGATGAGTTTAATAAAGTTTATTGTATGTCACACAAAAGAATAAGCGTCAGTTTTACTCCAGAAAATCACTGTAAGAGCTGAGTAAACACAGTATAAGAAGTGCGTAGGTACATAAACAAATTTCGGTAGAGTTGAGGGAGCATTTTTCAAAGACAAAATGAACCCACCTCGTCTTCAGCGGGTGGCTCAGATTTCAGGAGTAAATAGAGAGAGCTATGTGAATGAATACATCCAGCCACAACACCTTGAACGCTTGGGAGACATTCTCATTAGTGCAGCAATGGCGGATGTGTACAACCATAGACTGTGGGTGCTTCTCAATATCCCTCCTCGATCCTCCGTCCTCCATCCTATGACCCGGAAACCGATCGAGCTCAGCCATCTTGAAGGACATCTCAATTCTCGAATTGGACCGCGAGGTGAGGAGGCTTCCAGAGGAGCTATGAGCGAGGATGCACAGTTGTATGCTTTGCGGAAGTGTTTTATCGACTAAACGTGACGCAAGTATCCCCCTTCACGTCGGTCACAATCATTTTAATTTATACTTTACCTTTGCAGTTTATATACACCACACATCTCACATATTTCAACAGGGTATCTTGCTTTATTTTTATTTTATTTTATTTTTTTTACAATTTTCTTAAATAACCAAACTTAAACAACATAAGGGCAGATCCTTTGAGCGCTGCTGATGACGCAGTGAAGTAACGCTCCAGTGATCAAGTATTCCAAAGTATAAAAAAAAACTTTCATTCGATTCCTCTGTCCTCATTTTCTTTCCTTGCAGCCTTCCCTCGCATCCTGCAGGGGGTGGAGCTGAGACGCGAGGAAAGGAAACGAGGATGCACAAATAAGAATTGAGAAGCACCCAGTGTGTAGCCTGACTTCGTCATACTCATATTCTAGTCAGAATAGGCTTGTTTGAGATGAGCAAAATCTGCGCAGAACCGATCACCGGTGATCAGCGCGAGATGCATGCCGGTTAGAAATGTGTCCGAGTGCGGTCCGCCTTGCTCTGATGTCATGCTGACGTGTGTCAAAAAACTCTCGCGACCGCAAGGCGCACCTGTCGGATTCTGCAGTCGCGCGCAGTTGCTCTCCACCGACTGCGCTGATCAAAAGCATGATGGGAAACGACTTGCTGACGGCACAGCTTAATGCTCATTGGTTTAAACAACCGTGATGTATTGTTCTCTTTTAAAATGTTTGATTTTTGAAACTCTGATATCATGTTTTATGTCTATAAATTATGTGTGGATATCCCCAAACTCTCTGACAGTGGGATCTATGTGATGTAATTTTTTTTTTTTAATTAAAAATAAAAACATATATCTGTATTAAAGAAAAAAGTATTCATAAACATGTAGGCCTATTTTAAATGGAATTAAATAAGTACTTTGGGTGTCTTGTTCTTTATATTTATTTTCATATTCAAGCAACAAAACTTAAATTACATCCAGTTTATTAGCAACACAGTGCACGAGTGTGAATCCCGTGAATCCCGCGATATCCGCCTTTGATCTCACAGGTGTCAGATCCACTGCGAAAAGAGCGATCTGTCCGGCTTGCCTGCGCTTTTTTCACTCCTCCTCTCACTGCAGCCGCCTACTCTCGACTACATTTCAGGCGAGGCAAGGCGCATCTCAAACAAGCCTAATGTGAGTCTGATACTGCTTCATAGGGCTTTGATTATGAGGCGTGTCTTAACCGAACCAGGAAAAAAAAAAACTCTGCACTCAATTGGATAGACCTACAACCAATGAGAGCAACGCAGTAAGTCAACTACTTTGCATAGCACAGTTGTCAACTACAGAACTCAAATGCACGCACGCTGGAAGAAGTAAAATAACGAGTGTTGCTTCTTTTACTTGGCCCTCTATGAGTGCGACCAAAGGAGAAACCACAACGACCACAGGGTTTTCATTGCGTCCCATCTTCTTAGTTACCATCGGAGCCAGCTGATAAATTAAACTTTTGCAGAATCCCATAGGAAGGACGGCAAACACATCTTTCCGATCGACAAATGCCTTGATTGCAGTTCTATGTTCGTCTTTTAAAATGAATGCGCTGTCGATTTCTTTTACAACGGACGCGATAGCGGAATCTCTACATCTCAGTTCTCCAGCGGCAGTCATCTGTGAGGGAAACCAGTTCAACCCAAGCACTCTTTGATAACGTGATGATTACGACCCTGCAGATCATCTGTCCATCATCGTATAAAGCCCGCCCTGGCAATTTGATTGGCCCGACGATTTCTAAACCGATCATAATTACTCCTCAATGGAGCGAGTCCAGACCGAACTTCCCGATCAAAAAATGTTGTGGGCGGGGTTCGGGCTGGCATCCAGGCTACCCAGTGTGTACAACTTGCTGTGAACTCGATCAGGGCGGGTCTAAGTTAAAACGGCAAACACTCGTGGGCGGGGCCTGTGGCTTTAGTGACGTCACTAAAGCCGCATTCTGAAAACAGGTCGTTGGGAGCATTGACATAATAAATACATAGACGCCCTATTGGCCGCTGGAGCGTACGTCAACGGCGCTGTTTGGGGCTGTACACATCGCCACACAATTGAAAACAGTGATGGGCGATACTGCAAATTTCTGTATCGATCCGATACCAAGTAAATACAGGGCCAGTATCGCCGATATCGATAACGATACCGATACTTTTTCATTTTAAAAGCATGCATTTGAACTTATATGCACTTTCCTGTGCTAGAGCAGTGTGTCATGATTTATGAGGTGAATGCATCATTAATATGCTAAATCTGAACACGTTTTCATGACTACTAGGCCTAAATATTTTGTGATTTGTGCT